GAACCTGAGGGCGAGAGACAAGGGTCAGCGCTGAGGCTCAGGTGTGCCAGTTATTATTGAAGGAATAGTAACGATGATGATAACAGCAATAATGATGTGCTCTTCATTATAAACAATCATTAGAGTGGTAAATAGCAATGCTGATAATGAAAATAATAATGACATTAGTAGAAACAAAAGGATAATGGCAAAAACATTAGAATTGAGAATGGTAATAATAATGATAATAATTCTCATCATACTAATAACGAAAAAATTATCATGATATAATAAAAGCAACATTTATAATATTAATTAGTAACACGAGTTAAAAAAAAAAAAAAAAAAGATAATGATAAATACACTGATACTAACATCAACGAAAATTATACACGCACGTGTGTGTGTGTGTGTGTGTGTGTGAATAGCTACATAAGTGTGTGTGTGTGTGTGAATAGCTACATAAGTGTGTGTGTGTGTGAATAGATGCATTTGTGTGTGTGTGTGAAAAAAATACGTGTGTGTATTTTGCGCATGTGTGTGTTTGTAACAACCCTGCCTGACTATAATTTGAATCTCTGCCTCTCCAGGTATGACCCAGTAAACGAAGTGTACCGCACAACTAAATGAAAGGGGTACAACTGGAATATTACTTGCTCCAAAGACGTTACCCATCTCTTTCATACTATAGTAATGACTGCGAGATTTTACGTACATTCCTCTCAGATTCAGGAATATATATCTGAAGTCAGATGTATTGAGGTGCTTTGAAAGATGGAAGAAGGCAGTAGCGCAATGCTCCCGGAGAATCATGGGAAATTGAAATCTCTAGACCGGGAATATCATTAAAAAAAAAAAAAAAAATGTTTTCAAGTGGAAACGCGAAAATATAGTATTTGCTTTTTTTTTTTTTTTTTTTTTTTTTTTTTCTCTGACAGTTTTCTATTCTGTAAGTCGTCAGATAGAAATCAATATAAACGTCGGAAGATTGAGTTGACTGAATGAAAAGTTGAAAAACTACATAGTCAATAAAGCACACTCACAAGTCATTATTCAAATCTTTTAGATCTGACATCAATCATAAATTACATTAATGCAATGGGGTATATGCATTGGATGTATGTATCAAATGTGCAAATAAATATGTGAAAAGAACTACAAACTATATCTGGAAAGTCATGAGGTCACGGAACTTTGATGCCAAAAGTCTAGAAACCCTGAATAGAGACAAACAGAGTGCCTGTACCTGCACACACATACAAACACAAGCGACCACGCACGCATACAATTTTGTATGATAGCACATAATGGAGTCCTACCCATCGGCACATCAGAATTGTCACTAAAGACGAATTCTCCACCTCCGTTCAACTGGCCATCAACGAAGATAATTTCGCTCCAGTTTCCTGAAAGGGACGGGTCAAGGGTCATCATCTCTACACTTAAACGGGAGTCATTGCACCAACGGCCTGAATAGACGCCATTCAAGCGAGGACAATTCGCGCAGTCACAAACCTGCATCAGCCTCGACAAAGAAGTAGAACTCCCTCATGATGCCCGGGTTGTTGAGTCTGAGCAGATCGCCTCCTTCGGCAGCGCAGCCGTCCCGCGCCTCCTGGAAGTCGTCAACGAGGTACGGAAGGATCAGCACACAACGATCGAAAATAATGGTACTATTTTCTGGACACTCGACCGGTGACGGTATGTGAGGCTGGGGCACTGGAACAGAGAAATTAGTTAAGTTATTAGTGTGTTGAGAGAGAGAATGAGTTATATCTTCCTTTAAAAATCTCTAAACTGATTTCCCTTCACTGTTCGTGCAACCATGGACGGTTCGACCGACCTTCGCCACACACACACAGGCCGGGCTTGAGATAGTCGCAGGGGAAGTTGCGCCAGTAGTAATCTCGACTGCCTTGTAGTGCCACGCATTTGGCATCCATTCCGCCGGAGGGCCGGTGGTACTCCAGGTCCCAGAAGGGCGACCCGAGAGGCATGTCCGAGCCGTCGGAGAACCTCCAGGCCATGTCGCCATTGTCATCAGAGCCGTCCACCCAGTAGTCGTGGAGTCCGGCTGGGGATTTTCCCATTGGTTACTGAGGTGTTCCTCTGCTTAGGCTCGGATATGCATCGCAAATATTTCGTTTGTTCCGAGTACGACACAAACAACAAGGAAAAAACTCACGCATCTCGTCCCTCAGAGTGCGAATGACGTCATCGAAGAGGAAGGGATCCTTGATGGTCAGGAAGGAGTAACCCTTGTCGTGGCAGGCAGCCCTCGCATCCTCCTGAGTGCCAGGAGGAGTAGCCCAGAGGCGTAGTCCCCTCGGGCCGGCGGAGCACTCGTCCTTGCGCTGCCCACCGCAGCACCCTCCGCCCACTTTCACTTCCTGAGATAGGGAGGTTTAGGTGTAGGTCCTAGTGATAAGCAGTGTTGGTATTGTAGGGTCCTCGTGAAGGCCAGCGATTAATAGTTGTCCTCCCTCGTGTCATTTTCGTTGTGACGACAAACGCCACCTATGGAGTATTTGCTTTGCAATACGTTTTGAATAAGATATATGGCTAAACATTTTCTTCTGACCGTACCTCCTTGGATGTATTTGATTATTAAAACGAATAGCAATAAAAAATAAATATTATGTTTTAAATAGGATTATGACGACCAATTTATTCCCGCCTCTCGCCTGAACTAAGAGGCCCTATTTTGTGTCGCTCCATGCGAGATTATTCAGGAGGATTTTTGTATTTCTTTTCTTTTATAACCGATGATACTCCGGGGCCACGAGATACCCTGTAGTTTACTATGAATAAAGGGGGATTCTTGTTTCGAATTAATTCCGCCAAGGTGTTAATGTTTTGGGTAGCGTTGGTGGTTAGATATTTTGTTCGTTAGTTGGTAAGAGGATAACTCGAAAAGTTATGCACTAATTTTTATGACATTTTTACTCGAGGTGTGTCTGAGCCAAACTTGGATGCCATTAAGTTGGTGGTGATCCTGAGCACGATCTGGATCCAGGAATTCTTAGAA